GGTGTCCTGACAACTGCTAAAATGCTATTACATGCTATTAGTGCCAATGCAAGTGTGCTTTATAAGTGTGTGCGTGTGTGTGTGTGTGTGTTTGTGTGTGTGTGTGTGTGTGTGTGTGCGTGTGAATCCTTCTCATACTGTACATCTGATCTGTGGAATAAGGGTGTGTCTGCAGACATTGTTCTGTAGGCTGGTCTCACTGGGGTATGTGGACATCACAGCTGTGTGCTGATCTCTTTGCACTGATGTCCATTAGTGTGTCCACTCTCTACATACTACACACAGCTGCTACTGCAAACCAGAATATTCCTCTTAGAACCAGTTCTGTACTGTTTATCTATCCATCCATCATTTACAGACATCTTGACGTTCTCTCATGATTCTTTGTTAGTGATGCCATCTTTTGGTCAACAGTTTGTCAAGCAGTAACAGCAATGTACTTACATATGACATACTAAACGATACTTTATATAAAATACAATTACATAAAAAACAGTTGGACATGCATTCTCATATATATAAAAGCTACTTTATACAAACTATTATATTTATAAAATAGACATGCATGAGCAAATGGGTGTTCATAATTTAATTACTATAAACTAGAGTTATACAAAAAGGTATCTTATGCTTGCAAAGGCCATATTTATTTAGTCAAAATTACAGAATTATAAAATATAATATTGTGAAATATTTTCCATTTAAACATATTTTAAAATGTAATTTATTCCTGTGATGCAAAGCTGAATTTTCAGCATCATTACTGTCTTCCATGTCATATGATTCTTCAGAAATCATTCTAATACACTGATCTGCTGCTCAAAAATTTCTTGTTATCAATATTGAGTTTACAACAGTTATAAATATTCAATATTTAGATTGTCTATTTAATATTTGTGTGGAAATCATGACATTGATTTTTTTTCTTTGACGAATAGAAAGTTCAAAAGAACGCATTTATTTGAAATAGAATCTTTTAACATTACAAAAGTCTTACTGTCAATTTAACTGATCAATTTAATTTGTGCTGAATAATAAAAGTATTCATTTCTTAAATAAAAAAAATCTAACGGATCCCAGACTCTTGAACAGTAGTGTTGATATTCTCCACAAGATGGCGTTGTATGCTTGAAAGTCAAAGTCAATATATAGTTTATGAACACCTTGCCACTAGAGTTGAAAAGATGCTAAATAATTCATTTAACAGGGAAGAAGAAACATGTGACTGTTTCTGAGCGACTGAAAAGATGTTTTCGTCATCTGTAATTGCCTCAAAATTCCTCCTGAAAGCATATGATTGTCGACATGATGCATTTTCCTGCATTCATAATACATACTGAAAGCTCAGTTCTAAAATCACCGCACACATGATGAAGAATCAGTGGTCCTATATGTCTCAGCTCTGAAGTGTTGAGCTTCAGTAGGAAGCTCGCAGGAAGCCTGAATGTGAGTCACTGAGGCACACTACAGTCGTGTAGGCGTATCAGTCCGTGCTGAGCTCTGTGGCCTCTCATGGAGAAGCAGATGTGTGCTGCCCGACTGACTCATTGTCTGCTGATACTGAACACAAAGCCTTCAGTCACCCCCTCAAAATAACACTGGATTCAGCAAGAAACAACAACAACACATAGCATCAACAGAGAGAGAGAGAGAGGGAATGAGGTTTTATAACGGTCCACAAAAGAAGCAGAAAACAGTGCTCAACCAACCAAAAAATCAGAATGCCATACTGGAAAAAATGAAGGTGCAACACTCGCTATTAAACCTATGAAACATCTTCAGCTATATTAGATTATAAACATGGCTTCTTTTCCTTCATCAGACCTCAAGATTATCAAATATAATGGTGAAAACTAAGGGTTGTTCATAATCTTAAAGATTTGCACTTTTGATAAACAACTGCTGTCAATTATGACCAATTTGTTGATTTACTGGGTTCATATTATACATTTATTTAATTTATAATTATATATTTATAACTATACATAATTATATAAAATATAATTATATATAATTTTTACATTTATAACTTTATTATAATTTTAATTATTAGAATACATTTGCCACATTATGCACAATACCTCTCAGAAGTAAAAATTATCATAATTACAAATGAATGGCTTGTCCTATGTAAATGATAAATTACAATTATAATTTACATAATTTGGAATTATATCTGTATGTATGTTTGTGAGTGTGTGTTAAAATTATGTATATATTTAATTAGAATAGTTTATTAATCATTTGCATAATTGGGCAAATTTAATCACCTCATTTTTCACCAACAGTTTCTTTATAAAGCATCATTACATTAAGTGGCATTCAAACTGTTCAGAACAGACTGAAATTATTTGATTGTTAATAGCCTAATGGCACAATCTAATTTCATACAGCAGCTAAAAAGATGTAACTGTGGTGGCAATGACAATGCCATCTGACCAATGAGAGAAAAGCTCTGCTTCAGAGACTCTCTCATACATACACACACACACTCTTTCTAAAAGCCTCACACATGATTTATTAACAGGAAAGGCAGCTTCTCAGACTGGCTGTAAAACGCCGTGACACCAGCGACTGCAGTGTGTTATTTAACAGCACAGAGCAGCAGACAAATGAACAAATGCAATGTTGGAGGAAGAGAGGAAACCAGCAGGTCACGTTCCAGCGGCTGTGACACATGTTCAGTTAAAGAAGAGATTCCTGTAACACATTAATAATGCACAGACTTCGCCAAGAGGAACTGTGACGCAGCCGGTTTCCTTTTCACTTTCACTTATTTAAAACTAAAGCGTGTTGCTTTTTGAGGTTAAAACACTTCCTTCTGTCTCAGTTTCAAAACAATCCTCTGGTTCTTTGAATGGCTCTCATAATGTTGTGAGCAGCTGTTTATCTGAGCCGTAACATGATGAAGAAGATCCACAGGCTGCCTGATTCTCCCTCATAAAGACATTGAGAGGGTGAACGTCTAATTAAAGACCGCTGAGCACACTGTTCTGATTAGACCTCAACAAACGCAAAAGATGAAATGAGAACACAACTGGAAAACAATGATGTTACTGAAACCTCATTCTTTCAGACAGTGTTATGTAATAGTTTCTCAATCTGAAAGTGGAGCAGAGGGATTCAGCCGCTCAGCTGTGAGAGTTACACTGAAACTCTCACTATGATCTCATCATCACTGAATCAAACACTTAATGATATGGGATATCATCCAGTCATCAAATATATGACCAGGGTTTCCCACACTGGGGTTCAAGAGTTGATGAAAGTGTAACGGAGGCCAGCGAGTAAGTGCTGTGCAGGTAAACCTCACTCCCCTGATCTCAAGAGACGCACATGGGAGGCGGACGCACTAACAAGGAGGCTAAAGACTGCAGCCTCTAACGTCAGTCGCTAGTGCGTCCGCCTCCCATGCCGGAGACCCGGGTTCGAGACCCACTCAGAGCAAGAACGAGGTGTGGCGGTGAGGACCCGGGGGAGAGGGGTTACATTGGTGCCGTGACCCGGATGGGAGTGAGGTTTAGGGGGGTGAGTGTAACAGAGGCCAGCGGTAGGTGCTGTGCAGGTAAACCTCACTCCCCTGATCTCAAGAGACGCGCTAGTGGCTGCAGTCTTTAGCCTCTTTGTTAGTGCGTCTGCCTCCCATGCCAAGAGACGCACTAGCGACTGACGCTAGAGGTTGCAGTCTTTAGCCTCCTTGTTAGTGCGTCCGCCTTCCATGAGCCCGGGGAGACCCGGGTTCGAGACCCACTCGGAGCGAGAACGAGGTGTGGCGGAGAGGACCCGGGGGAGAGGGGTTACAAAAGCAAATAATTGAAATTGCAGAGCTACACAAATGAGCGTTTGAGTTTAAAAAGTATATACATTTGTTGTTTTTTTTCTAGAAAATGACTGATTGTTTCGCTAGATAAGACCCTTCTTCCTCGGCTGGGATCGTTTAGAGCCCTTTGAAGCTGCACTGAAACTGCATTTTGGAGGTTCAAACTCGCGGGCACCATAGAAGTCCACTATATGGAGAAAATTCCTGAAATGTTTTCCTCCAAAAACAATTTCTTTACTACTGAAGAAAGAAAGACATGAACATCTTTGATGACAAGGGGGTGAGTACATTATCTGTAAATTTTTGTTCTGGAAGTGAACTGCTCCTTTTATGATCTGACTAAAAGACAGGAATTTAGGCATATAGTTTTTCATCATTTAGGGTCCATGCAGAGTCCAGAAATTAATTTTGTACCACACCTGCCAATGGCTGGCAAATTGAGAAAATTAATCTTAAATACAAATACTTCTTAAACCACATTCATTTGATGCTTGGTAAATGTGCATTTTGGACCATGAATCAATGTGCTCAAACAAAATACACCCTGACAATGAGAGTAGGACTGTATTACACAGCTACTTAATAAATAAATGCAATGGACATGAAATAGTGATTTTATCTGAAATGATCCAGTAGATTAGCTTTGAGATTCTGTTACAAAAATAGCTCTCCAAATTAGAAAAAAAATTGCAACAATACTAATTTTCACGTTACTAATCTGTAATTCAAGTTACTTTTTCTATGGATTAGTTCACTAACATATTTATCTAAAATGTAACATATGTTTCTCTATTTTAAGTTTCTTCTAACCCAGTTCTTTGTTCCAGTGACATTCGTTTTCATGCTGAGCTTCTAACCATCTATCAAAGGTTTATGCTGATCCTTAAAAATACTATGAAGTCCAAAATTTTAAAATAGAAAACTGTTGTTTTAAATTGTAACAGTATTTCAAAATATTCATGTTTTTACTGTATTTTTGACCAAATAAATGCGGCCTTAGTGAGTATAAGAGACTTCCTTTAAAAACAAAAAATCTTACCGACCCCAAACTTCTGAACAGAAATAAATAGCACCATTATGTTGCCATGGACAAATATGCATTCAGCATCATTACACAAAAATATCGGTCTCCTCAATGCTGCAACTGACCCATCAGAATCAAGCATTCATGTACTCTTACCTTGAGTTGTACCAGGTGTACATCCACGTGTCTATTGATGCTGTCTTGCTGCACAGAGTGTGTGAGGTCTCTGACTCTCTCCGTAGTGGTCCTCAGCCAGGTCTCGATCTCCGGCAGGTGCAGAACCACCTTCCAGTCGGCCCCTGTGTGGAGAGGAGGGGGTTTTTGGTACCTGCGGTAGGGATCTTGTTTCTGGGTTGGCTCGTCCCTGCTGACGCTGGGCCCACACGGATCATCGTGTTTATCGGGGCCGGGTTCCAGGGTGGGAGTCACAGAGGTTATCATAGGGGAGGAAGCCTCACTGGCCATCGGTGATACGGCAACATTCATGGTTGGTCAACAAATGGTCAACAAACACAGCGTGATCCTGAGGACTGGCCTTTTTGGTTTAGCTGTTCAGAGAGGAGACAAAAAAAAGAAAGGATGATTTAAAAAAAAAAACAAAACAAGCAGTATGAGTGCACAGCACCCATTAATATTAAAAGAGCTTCCAGATTTAGTTAAATATGGATAGTCAGAGGTAATTTGGGATGCAAATCTAATGGCGGTCACTGTCATAGATGACAGCATGTAAAGTGGCTCTCATGGTGAAGCATTAGAAAAGCATTTAAAGAAAGGGATTTCTCATTTTGGGGAATTATTTTCTATTTCGAAGAAAAAAAATATAACCGACATGGATAAAAATGCCAAATCACAGACAAAACACACTGCATAGCTGGTTCAGGAAACATTAAATCCTACAGAATGCATATTTGAGCTGCTGGGCTTACAATTCTGAAATCCTCCAGAGTATATTCTCATTGCAGAAAGCATTTTATTAAAACAAAAATGAATCGTCAATGGTTTCATGCATTTTCCCAAATGCACACATTTAGAAGTTATAGGTGTTATTTAGAGCACATATAGAGCATATATACGGTGGCCGAGAGAGCTCAATGCGTTGCAAATAGAAAAAACACCTGCAAATTAAGAAAACAACTTCATCAATTTGACAATGAACTCAATGCTATACTAAACTAAGCCACAACACTCTAAAATATTGATTCCATTGGGAATAGAAACCAATAAATTTGTCACCAAAATCCTTTAAGATGCTTTCAAGCTCCATCACACTCTATTTAATCCCGGATCAACTCTTTCACATCACTTACAGTGAGGATTATGCATATTGCCATCTCAGCAACAAATGTCTTTTACATGGCAACATGATAAAATACATACAAATAATAGTCAAACTACTTAAACCGTATTTTAAAAAACTACATATTTCAATTTTATACTTGACAATACATAAATGACACTTTTTTCAGTGTTGTTATTAAAACAAACTTTTAAAAATTGTTTGCATTAATGAAAATAAAGCTGAAATTAAATACAATATAAATATTAAATGAAAAACTTGAAATAAAAATAAAGCTAAACAGAGATTTGTGTGTGTGTGTGTGTGTGTGTGTGTGTGTAAACAATTGCAAAAGCACATGACAAAGTAAAATTTCATAAAAACTAATTCAAAATATTATTAAATCCTATAATAGTATATAAAACTGTAAACCTTTTAAAGGGATCATATGATGTTGCTAAAAAGAACATTATTTTGTGTATTTGGTGTAATGAAATGTGTTTATGCGGTTTAAGGTTCAAAAAACACATTATTTTCCACATACTGTACATTATTGTTTCTCCTCTATGCCCCGTCTTTCTGAAACGCATCGATTTTTACAAAGCTCATCGGTCTGAAAAGCGAGGTGTGCACTGATTGGCCAGATAACCAGTGCGTTGTGATTGGCCGAATACCTCAAGCGTGTGACGGAAATGTTATGTCCCTTACCATACTGTGATGCCGTGTCCCGGCCGGAGCGATGAGACAAAAACATTAAAACCCATTATAAATGAGGCATTTTCCTCAGCGACCAGCACGGATCAGCTCCAGGCATGACGAAGCGGATATCGTCCTCTTTTGGAAGACCAAACAAAGTAGTTTCGCTTTCACAACGAAACACAGCGCCTTCACGACATGGCAGCGGCGGCAACAACAATACTACAGCGAGAATAAAAGTTACGCCTTCTTTCTTTGCGTGAACATTTGGGCGGCGTTATGCAAATCTTCCCACATCGTGACGTAGACATGTGGGGGCGTGTTAGAACGAGCCGTTTTAGGTAGGTGTGGTTGACTCTTAACTTTTATAAAGAATATCTCTTTGGATTTGAGACTTTAGTCTTTGCAAATTTACAGATCTTCTTTAAGCTTGTAAAGCTTGTAACACTCCAAAGAGAAAGGAAAAATTGAAATCGCATCATATGACCCCTTTAAAAACATGCACTAATGAACTTTAAAACATCTGCCTACTGATATTAAAAGCAGGACTTAAATTTCAGCAGATCTTCTTAAGACTGATTATCTTCTGTGCTGTATGTCTCATAATATTACAATATTAAGACATTTTAAAATATCCAGCTAAAACTAAACATGTTCCTGTAGCTCAAAGGGGTTCGACTCCCTGAGAAATTCATAAACCAATAAAATGTAATACATCCTTTTTAAATAACTGAATTCACCATGACTCAACAGAATATAACAAACAGAATTTCTGTTTCTGCAGTTTATGCCATAAAGATAAAGAATATTTTGGTAACACTCTACATTACAGTGTCCATGTTATGTCCTACATAATACATAATCATTACAAAAACATTTGTTCGGATTTGCTGAAGAAAAAGCCAGTGGCGTCTGCTTGTGCTAAAGTCAATGCCACAATGCAAACTCACTACTAATGTAATTATTGCATTAGCTACTGTAACAGACACTAAATGCCTATAAATAATGCACAATGAGGTCATTTCTAAAGTCATACACAACGTCATTACATCAGCAGCTGAGGTCATTTCCACCCTGCACAAAGACAGAAATCTGACGGTAAGAAAGATGATTCTGAACCAGAACAACTGATGTTCATCATGAAGCTGTCTCGCCGCCATTATCCAGCATTGAATATCTAGGCCACTGCAACAGGGAAGTCAGCGATCGGAAATCAATATCTTGAATGATCTGGTTTGAGCGTCTGGTTAATATGCTGCTTCAGCACCGAGTGATGCCATCCCACCAACAGCATCACAGCAATCCCATGAATTATTCAGCTAATATGGCTTCCTGGCATTTACAGCTCATCTGCATGTATTTGTTAAAGCATGGATGAAGCCGTCCAAACCGATTCATTAGTTGACATTCAACATGAAAGGGCAGAGAATAATTTCAGTTGTGTTTGCAAACGCATCAGTGACAGAACGACATACGATGGCACACATCTGTATCAGGGGAACATGCAAACAAGTGCTCACGCAGGATTATACAGGGCCTTACAGGTGATTAGCATATCACACGCATGCATAACTTATTCAAAACATGACATACACATGGATGCTTTTGCATGCTCTGAGTTAATCTCTTTACCAATTGGGCCCAGTCCACCCTCAAGAAGATCTAATGTTTACTGGTCAACAAGTAATCCACATGACTTGTAAAGTGAAAAGCTGCGAGTTTGTAAGTAACAAATCCATCAAGTTTCTTTTCATCTTCAACCAATGCTTCAGACTAAAATACGAGTCCTCTCTCCATAATGTTGCTTTCAAACCATGAATTGATGCCATATGATGTGCTGATGCAAATTCATCTTTATCCACATCTGTCACCCTATCTGTTTTATTTCCACACTACCAAAGTGTCATTGCAAATAAACAATAAACAGCAGATGAATTATACAAGGCAGAATGACCTTTTATGTGCTGCTGTCCAAATGCTTTACTTAATTATACCAGGCACTCAATAAACCAGCCATTAGTTCTGCTGACTTCACAAAATCCTCTGAAATGAGCTGCAGCCTCCGTTAGAACTCAAAATGGGTCAAACTCCTGCTTCTTAGTGAATACAGTCTCACACCACAATCTGACACCCACAGAAATCACAATGAAGTACACAAATGCAGCTGCATCCCTTCAGATTACAGTGAACATTTAAGCGCTGAATAGCACTAATGAACTATCTATTTTACATTATGTTTGTTGTTACTCCAATTTCACAAATAAAATTGTCACGAGTACCTGATGGATATTACTGAAATAGATGCCCTGACAAATCATATGCATGCAGCATGTCTCTGTGACAGCACTTTGAAAATGTACTAAATGTTTGGGAAACCTGTTTGGAAACAGACATTATTTTTGCAATTTAATGAAAATATTAATGGAAGACTAGGACTGACAATTTTATCAAATGAAGGAATCGGTTAACAATTTAATAATTCAAACATAAAAATGGAAATTAATCACTTTTTAAATTGACCGTTCATTTAATTCAAGTTTTAAAACAATAAAATAAGAAACTAATAAATGCTTTTAAAAGCTCATTTTAAATGGCATTTAAAAAATAATAATAATTTCCCAGTTTTTTTTTTTTTATCAAATGCTTTTCTTTATCCGTTTGTCAATTAATTAAAAAAAAAAAATTCGACAGTTCACCTGAGGGGCAACTCAATTTTAAGAGTTACTTCCTCTCACAGGTGCCACTTAAGTAGAGATTGTTTTATTTAATGAATTCAATTAAATGTTAAATAAATGTAAGTTAAATTTGTCTACTAATTTGTCAATTTAAAATGATTTAGTTCTTTCCGTCTAAATTATAAAAACTGATTCCTTCATTTTTTTTTATGTAAGTTTAGACCTCCAGAAAAATTACCACAAGCTCAAAAAAAGAAACAAAAGTTGTTACTGGGGAAGAACTTTTTCAAATGTTCAAATATTTAGGTACTAATATGTACCTTTAAGGTACCAATATGGACCTTTTAGGGGTAATTAAGGTACAAAGGTGTACCTTTCGAAAAGGTACCGCCCTAGTGAGAGCTTTTGTACCTTTTTTTTTCTGAGAGCGCATTAAAACATTTACAGGCCTAAACAGGCTTTGTCCTTGTATTAATAGCAGTAAGCTCTCTGGTGAACATTACATACCTTGTTTACCATTTGTCCTAGTGTATATTTAACACAGAGCAGTTACTGACTAAAAGAAAATATAATTGTTATAATATTATGATATTACAAATGTTCCAGCAATAACAGAGCCAATGTCACCAAACATCAGAAGGTGACTGCATATTCTCGGCAATGAATCGCCTGCGATTTTGAACGTGATTTTGTGTAGCTTGTCAGTGATCTACAGCTCTGTGTAGTAAATGCCGCTCCATCTGAAAGCACGTGCTGGAGATTTACTACTAATCACCAGAAACGGCTTCACTGACGAGATGCGCATGAAAATCGCATTCGATTTTTTGCACAGCCCTACTCAGCAGTCTTTATGCAGAGAGTGACTAAGTTCTTTATTTAGCATCAGAATGAGGTTG